CCATATTTTAAATCTTATTGTGTAAGATGTAATAGGATTAATACATGAGATAAATGACAAGATCCATGATATAATCAAGTTCGCTAAAGGATCGTAAGGAACGCAAGAAATATTTAATAAGGGAAACAAGTTCCTTAGAATTGTAAGCAAAAAAAAAAAATGTCTTGATATTCCAACTCGATGGACTCGACATACAAAATGTTATATAATGTCTTTGAGCTAAAAGAGGCATTTATTGCTTTTCTCAATGGGACTCAATGTTTAATTTGGTTCCATCTGAGGCTGATTGGGAGAAAGCAAGACATACTTATAATTGTTTGAAAAATTTTATGATGCTACAAATGTTTTTTCGGGATCGAGTATCCAACTTCTATGAAAAAGAAGTTTGACAAATATTGGAGGATATGCAGTTTAACATTGAAGATTGCAGGTGTTGTTGATCCTCGGTATAAACTTGCATTGGTTGATTTTTATTATCCAAAAATATATGTTGACGAAGCAACACAAGAAATTATGATGATTGGACAAGGGATATATAACTTATATACAAGGTATAAATCAAATGAATCATCTAGTACCAATATTGGAAGTACTTCAATTGTCGACCAATCTTCTTCCCACAATGGCTTTGCTACTCGTCATATGAGAAAGATGGAATATCAAAGATTCATTCAAGAGCGTTCTATTAGTATACTAATAAGATCAGAATTGGACATACATATGGAGTAACCTATCTTTCCAAAACCACTGTTGAATGAAGAGTTCAATATCTTAATTTGGTAGCGAGCCAATGCACCAAGGTTCCCCAATCTCTCAAAAATGTTACTTTGGTGATTCCTATTTCCACAGCAGCATCTGAATCAGTATTTAGTACTGGGGGACAGGTTTTAGGCCCGTATCACAATTCCTTGCGTCCATCAACCATGCAAGCATTGATGTGTACCCAAAATTGGCTGCAAAATGATTTTGAAGGTAAAACAAGTTTAATTTCAAAATTGTTGTCGGTTGATTACTTTCCATATTGGTTGATTTCTATAACTTAAATTTTATCACTCTATTTGTGTTTCAAGCTTATAGGGTGCATGAGCATCATCTTCTAACACTCCCGCTTCTATTGTAGATGATGAAGTTAAGGGCTATGAATGAATATTGTACAAGTGAATCTTTTCCTATGTCTCAGGTTTTAATTATGTAATATTTTTTTATGTAATTCACAACACTTCTGAGTTCACTGTTTACTTTGTTAACAATGATACCATGTTACTGTGTTTACTGTCAATGTCAATGTCACATTATGTGTGCATTAGCACACTATTGATTGTGTTAACAACTACTAATTTACTGATTTCACAATTAACTGTGTGATTTCTATGCCGTGTGTGCATTAACAAACGATTAATTGAGTTAACAGTTGTTGGTTTACTGGTCTCACAGTTAACTGTGTGATTTTTATGTATGTATGTGTTAACACACTATAAATTGACTTACGACCTGCTGATTTGGACAAATATTTGAAATATGTGTATTGTCATCAGGATCTCTGCAGCAATCGGACAAAGGACAGAGTAGAAAGAGCACAAGAGCCTCCTTGGATAAGAGAGCACGCATGCATGGCCGGCTTCTTCCACTTCAACTTATTAGCATTAGCAATGCTCCGCAGGGTAGTATGATGGAATTACATGAATGAGGAGCTGATTAAAAAAGCTCAGGCAATCCAAGTATGCATCGACATATGTAGACAATTATTCTTTCTCAGCAACGTACATTCAAGAATTGTCTTTGCTGCAGGTGGAAAGGTTTTGATGCATTTTATTTGAATAGTTTCATTTATGATTATGTAACTAACATGTAGGTAAAAGAGGACAGTTAACAATAGTCTCACCATAAATTCAGTGTAATACACCAGGTTCTCTTTTCACCCATAGAACTTTTAGAGCAATGTGAAATTTATTGAGCCATCTTTGACAAGCATGTTCAATATATATGTTCATTTCACAATAAGTTAGTGAATATGATCTAATTGGGCCTAAATATCAGATAGGGTATAATGCATTATGTCCTACATTTCTGTATTACAGTGGTTTGTTATTTATTTACTTATGTTAATGGTGGTTTATTTTTTCTCTTTGATATTGATGGAGTGGAGGTGCAAGAATGGAGGAATCAAGAATGGGACTGTAGCAATTGGAGTAATTTTCCCTCACCGAAAAAGCACTTGCTGCAGGCAGGGAAGGGATGATGCCAGAAATCTAGCAAAAAAATTTTGAGATGATCATGTTTTTTATCGGGAAGTTCACCGTGGGGCTGAAGCAATTAGAGTAATTTTCTCTCACCGGGAAACCACTTGCTGCTGGCAGGGAAAGGATGATGCAGGAAATCTAGCAATTTTCTTTTGAGATGATTGTTTGTTATACTCACAGATGGACTTCTTTGAAATGGAATGATGTATATTGAGGAAAGACTTGGACAGGTTTAAAATAGGGGACAAGAGAGAGAGAGATGTATATTGATGAAAAAAGGTAATTGAATTTGTGTGTGTTAAGAGAGAGAGAGAGATAGAATCCTTAGTATGTCTTTTTATTTGCAATCCCTTATGTAATTGTTAATTGGGGAGGATTGAGACATGAAATCGCGTGCTATGTGTTTTGGGAGTTGATTTGGATCTTGTTGCACTAAAGAATTAAAGCAACTTGCACCTATGTGGAAGAAGCAATTTGTTAAATGCATGAATGGCCTCCAAGTCTATTGCCATTGAATTTATTTGTTAGACATCTCTCTTAACTGTATTTGGTATTTCATAACTTTTTACCTAAAAAATATTGGCGTTGAATTTACAGGTCTTTCATATTTTTTTTATTTTTTCTGTGGCTTGAAATCATCAAACTGGCTTTCGGGTTGGGTCAAGGGAACTCGAACAGTAACACAACAGGTACAGGTCCGGTCCTGGGTCCTAATGCATGTTCTGGGTACAGGTATAGGTACGAGGCACTCTAGATCCATTACGTCCGGATCCGAGTATGGGTCCATCTAGTGTAATTTCGAGTTCGGCTCCGCGTAAAGCCGGACCCGACCCATTGCCACCCCTATCTTCATTAGATAAAAGACCGCAACTCCTCCCCCAACATAAACGAAACCACTTTGTTCTAGAAATTCATGTTGTGAGAAATAATAGGTCTTTACTTATATTCCAGCTTCCTCCATCAATAAAACTCACCTCTACCCCTCATTTTCATTTTTATCAACTTCTAATCTTACCTATGCTTCCATAATAATCTTCTCCTAAACAAATCCCTCAACGTGCAGAATAATGCCCTTCCTGCTCCCACTTGTCACCCCAAACCTACCTAAAAACCTACGTTTAATCATCTTGAAATGTGAACTATTCTAGGTTAACCCCAACCACCTCCATTACTCGATCCCCTTCTTAACATCTACCAGTTCATCTTCTAGAACCACTTGCTTTGTTTCTTGCAAGTCCCTTCACCTCCATACAACCACTGTTAGAAATCAAGGGAAAACAGCTTTTGTTGGCAATTCATTGGGCATGTTCCTTGATAGTGTCAAAAGAACAAACGAGGTGGACTGCCATATTTTTAGTAAAATTGCACAGCGTAGAGCTGTAAAGATCATAGATATGCCTACCACATGATTGGTGGTATTAATAAATATGTCTAAAGCATGGAGGGATGCATTTGTCAAAAATATCATAAAAAAATCAAAAGAAGAAGACAGTTGAGACAAGTTAGGCGATACAATGTGAAAATCAAAAATTTCAGTTGGAAATGTAAGGCACCAACTTCATTGCCATTGGAAGCGTTGCCAGTGCAGCAGGAACCTCTCGACCTAACCATAATGCATCACTATTAAATCCTTCACGACAAGACCTGGTTCAAGTATTATAATCATATCATCAGGAATATTTTACACCATGATCATTTGCTGGACCTGCTGCTTCTGCAAGAAGCTTTCCCAACAAAGTAGAACAGAAATCAGCTTAACCAATTGGAATACCAATTTATTTTTATTTTTTTAACATAATCCACTACAATACCATTGACAACCCATTATCTTCATTCCCACCTGTAGTAAACATTGCACAACCATATCCACTCCTTTAATCTAAAGAACAAGCTAAACTACCGTTCCTTTCGCAAATGGTAATTCACAAGCCATGAATTCTCCAAAAGCCATATCATTCTCCATAATCCACAAGCCATGAATTCTCCACAAGCAATAGTATCGATAAATCACCTGCTTCAAACCTACCACCTCAATGGAAATACAAAAATACTTCTTCCAATGAGTACAATGACAAAAAACCTCACCAAATGATAGATTGCTATGGACATCAGTTTTCAACTCAATCTCTTTATGAATAGAAATAAGTATAGAGGGAGCACATTATCAGATCTGCTGCGGAAACCAATGGCCATAAAATATTCATCTTCATTCAAATGTATCAACAACAAATGTGGTGGAGTGAATCAGCAATGAAACATTTCATATTCATAATTATGGTCATCTAAACAAGCAGTAAGGAAACATATTAGAGTGTCAATACTATGTCCAATCTCTTTTCCATATTATCAACTTGGCATAAGGGAGAGGGAGAGAGACAACACAAAGAAACTCTAGAGGATTGCAGATAACAATAAACCAAGTCAACAGTCAACCAGAAATCCCAGATACAGAAAGTAAAATACTCAAATAAATAAATTTGAGTACCATCTCATCAACAAGAGAGAGAGACTATAAAAAGAGCACTAGAATACCATCTCATCCAAGAGATAGATAGAGCAGGCTGAAGAGAAAGGTTGAGAAGGGGAAAACATCATACCATCTCAATTCTTGCAATCCTCAACTACAACAATCCAAAAACCAAAAAAGGAAAATTGCCACTTACAAACACAAATACCAGAAAGAAACCAACATTTTCTACTAGTTCATCTCTCTCTATATATATCTTGCTCACTATTACACAGCTGCGGCTAGGATCATACCGGTCTTGCGAGCGTATGCAAAGATCCCCCAGCCTCAATCACCGGCCCCGCATCCCCGATCTGCTTGAGCTTATACTCCTTCCCAGTGGTGTGGTCCGTAAGTAGTCCCCTCTCCTTCTCCATCTCCACAGTCACCAAATCCTTCGTCTTGCACTCTTTGCAAAGCCACCCCTCTGCGGATTCAAGGGGGTAAATTTCTCCAGTCGCCACCAAATTCTTGAAGAAGATGCGCGCATAGGACTCAACCACCACGGCCTTGACGCCTGACGCACCTAGGGCAACAAAGGCATGCTCGCTCGACGAGCCACACCCAAAATTGGCGCCCGCAATGATGATGGCATAGCGGGACAAGGGCTGCCCGGGTGCCACGAAGCGAGGGTACCGGGAAGGGAGCCCTAAGAGCGCCGGGCTCCCCAGCTTCGCATACTCCTCCGGGTTCGAATGAACGAGGGTCAGGTACTCCGCGGGGATGATCTGGTCCGTGTCGATGTTGTCGTCCAAAACAAAGCACTCTCCGTGAAATACTTTTTCTGATGCCTTGCCGCCTTCTAAGGCTGAGGAAGAAGAAGAAGAGGCAGCACAGAGAGTTAGACTGAGGGTGTGGTTGCAGCGACGTGAGAGAGAAGAGGAAGGCCAAGAGTAACAGAGGAGAGGAGGTCGAGCAGAAGGCGGAGAGAGGCGATGGATTGGGGAGGAGGAGAAGCTGAAAGCGCATGGCGGCGGCTGCACGGCCTTTGATGCCATGGTTGCTACCGTGTGTCTGTTTGACTGTCGCTTTACTGGTGACAAAAACCTATAAACGGACGGGCTCCTACTGTGTTATTGAGGTCTCAGTGAGGGGGAAAATGTTAGGCATTCATAGTGGGGAATGTTAGGCATTCAGAGTGGTAGGGTTGTGCAGTCAGGCCGCCTTTATTTCATGAGACCTTTAGCTGCCAATGGCTTTCAGGAGGCAATTATAGCTAGGCTTTCTTGGGGACTTAGCACGTGCTTCTTGAGAAGAGGGAGGAATTTTTTGCCATAGCCATTCAAGTTGATTTGGCCTTCCATTTCCTACCTTCCTATTGTCTTTTTATTGGTGTGGTACATGTGGATTTCTTGCTGACAGAATATGGTGAATGTAGGTTCCTCTCTAGAGTGAAGAGATTTTTACGGCAGCGATATTCGGGGTTTGGTTTTATGTATGTGTTGTAGGAATTGAGATTTGTTTATCTTTGTATGCCATACATTTACATCTCCATTAATGGGCTTATTGTGGTTTTTGGCGTCTTGAGTTGGACTACTTGTTTTTAGTGTTGTGTTTAGCAAGGGTTTGGAATTCCCCTTTTTTTTTTTTTGGAACATGAGTAGGGATTTGGTATTCTTGGTGAATGCTTTTGTGTTCTCTTAATGGGGAAAGGGGATTGTACTGGGTGATTAGAGGCTTACGCGTCGGGTACGGGTCCAAGTCTAGGACCCGAACACTATTTGGGTCTAGAATATAGCATATGCTATTTTTGGGTGGGATCCGAGTCCCACATTCTATTTTCGGTCCGGGTCCAGGTCTGGGGAATTCCATTCCCATAACAATTTTTTGGGTCTGGGTCCAGCCAGATCCAAGCCTAACCCAATCCCTTGCCACCCCTACTTGAAACTTATTGGCTGAAAATTTTTACATAAGGGTGAGGTTTTGAATTGTAGAACTAAGGTGCACCTAAAAAATACATTGGAAAAAAGGCCGTTTTGATGTTGGAAATCATTTAATTAATCATCTTTACATCGAGATGTATAGATAAGGCAAAAATAAAAAATTTTAAGTCCTAAAAATATTATATCCCACAGCACATTATATGGACCGTCCATTTTCGATATTTTATAAATTTGCTTGATTTGAATCATTTTTTGAGTTTAAAATATTATAATTAGATATGAAAATAGGTTCTTAAGCCATCCTAATAATTTTTTACACTAACACTACATCTTGTGACAAAGTTTGGAGGTGTGTCTTACTTTAATTGTTTAAGATTGCAACCTTATGCAAACCACACCCTTATTGGTTTACAATCTATGATTTATGAGAAATTTATCAAATTGTAACCAAGAGGTGAATTATTTAGCATTCCATCCATATATTTTGATCTACTTTCAAAAAGGCAATAAATTTATGTGGGAAGAAGTTTGTATAAGGTGTCAACCTTCTAATATCGAAGTAAGTTACTCCTCAAAAATCTCTAGAAGAAAGTGCTCCAATGATGGAAAACCCTGGAGTTTATCATCTCAACCTTGAGATGTATGGAAGTATTTCAAGTCTTAAAAATAGTTCATCTTGTAACAAGTTACCTTCAGTCCTGACAATAGAACATCTTGTAAAAAGTTACCTTGATCATCTATATTCAAGATTTTTTAAGTGTTTACAAATCCACTTGATCTATCCCATTTTCAAAATTTTAAATTTCATAATAAGAGGTTGTAAATATGTTTTCAAGCCCCCGTAAGGTTTCTCAAACCAAAACTACATCCCCAGGCGACATTCAACGGTTGCAAGTTATTTCATTATGAATGCAGTTTCTATAAGGCTGGGCCTTATGGCAAAAAGAAGAAAGTAAAGGTTCACCTGAAATCTCGTCTAAAAAACAATTCGGGTACAAGAAATCCATATAATGGCTCTAAAATCTATTTCTACCACTAATTATAACATTTGTAGCTAAAAAAATAATATAAATATTATGGATCAATAATCTCTTGAAAATGAACGATCTGAATAGCGTGTTGCTGTACACACTATTTTTAGGGTTTGAAATCCGTTCTTTTTGTTTTTTCTTCTCAATGATAATGGTCAAAGTTGAGATGATCGATTTGAAGGTTTCCCGACGAATAAACTATAACTTTAAGCGAGTTTGAAGGTGAGGCTTTAGTGTTTTTTCACAAGGTTGACACTTTAAATCATAGAATTAAGGTGCACCTAAAACATACATAAAAAAACTGTTTTGACTTTGAAAACCATTTAATTGGTCATCTTTACATCGGGACGTATGAAAATAAAAAAGAAAAAATTTTAAGTCCCAAAAATAATACATCTTGTAATACCATTATCTAGACTCCATGTTTTACAATTGAACAATTGTTTCATGTGAGCTAGACCACGTTTTCTACGAGGACCCAGTTTCTATGCGGACAACACGCAAATGTAGAAATGCGGGCCTATTAATAAATATATGTTTGAGATGGATTTTTGGACTAAACTTTTAAGGACATATAATCTCTAACATAGAAATCATGAATATGAAAAAATAAGTAAATTTAAAAAACTATAAATAATATTTCTAATAAAAAACATTTGAACCGTTAGTTTCGATTGTTTTTAGATGGAACACCTACTTGCATCTATCTTTAAGATGGATGCTTATACTTTTTGGACCGCATATGAAGTTATGCGGTCTAGAGGTATAAAGCATCCATCTTAAAGATGATGCAAATTGGTGGTTCATCTAAAAACTAGTGTAACTAAAATCCATTTTCTCATTAATACTCACCTTTAAAATCCATTTTTTCATTAATTTTCAATTTCATTTAGTGTTCATAAAATTGAACCGAAACAGTTAACCAGACATAGGCCTGAAAGCGGTTTAACTGGCCTAATAGGTAAACTGGCCGATTCTCTAACCGGACAAGTCACATACGGTCAAAAAAGTGTCGAAAAAAATAAAAAAGATACAAAAAAAATACTAAAATACGAAAAGCATATAAAGAATGATTAAAACAAAACACATTCAAATGAAGTTGAAAATTAATGAAAAAAAAATGATTTTAACCCATTTTATGCTATCCAAAAGCTATTTTAAAAATTTTCTAAAAAATATGGGAAAATATAAAAGTGAGTATTAATGACCAAAACAATTTTTAATATTTACCATAATGTGAATAATATTTTAAAATACATTGCAAATCAAATTCCTTATTTTTGAGAATTTATATACATTTTTTTTAACTTTTTCTTTTTTAATAACAGTTAATCACCCTAACCACCCAAAGCCGGTTCTGATCTAATCAGGAGGTTAGTGGTTAGATCGGGCAATTTTGCGAACAATAATTTCATTTGAATGTGTTTTGTTTTAATCATTCTTTATATGCTTTTCATATTTTAGTAGGTTTTTTTTGTATTTTTTTATTTTTTTCGACAATTTTTTTGGCCGCCGGGGACTTGGTCGGTTAGAACAATTGAATCAGCCAGTTTACCAGTTAGGCCGGTTAAACTGCTTCTAGCCCTATGTCCGGTTTACCATTCCGGTTCGATTTTGTGAACACTGATCGAGAAACATAACAAGATAGAACCCTCCCGTCCACAAGTTACGAGAAAAGATCACGAAAAGGCAACACAAAGTAAGAATTTTATAAAAATAGGCATAAAATAGAAGCGACAGTATGCTCAGCTGTCCACCGCTCACAAAGACTTGCAAATCCTTCCTAAACATAATTCACCAGAAATTCTATGAATCAAAAGACAATTGAAAACCTAAAGACTCAAAACACCTTCAGCAACACTACCTTCCAAAGAAACAGATTCCAGACCCTGAATTTCAGAAACAAACTGGAAAGCCAGATTTCAACGAGCAATACAATAACTTGTTCATGATGCACAATGAACCAAAGCGAAAACAAAAAAAAAAACAATCTTTAACAAACAGATTATCAAAGATGAAAATCACAATCCACATTTCAAAAGCACTGAGGATATTGAAATGGCGCCCTAGCTTCATGCAAATAAGTAGATCAAACAGAAAATTGCAGACTCAAAATATGTTCTGCAGTATCCACCTTCGGAAAAACAAAATAAAAATGTAAGTTTTCTATGAACTACACATGAATTATTTGAATAGAAAACCAAATTTGCTCAGACTAAAAAGATTTAAACATGTTCCTACACCAACAAGCTTTTGCCGCCATCAAAAACAAATTACCAATTTCCAACCAAACATATTCAAATATAAATTCAAATTCCCGCAACAAACACAAAATCCATTCCCTAATTTTCAAGGAAACTGCAGATAACACAACACAGGCATCTTTGCAATGATCAAATGATAAAAAAGGAAATCAAGCAAATTGCAATATTATCTCCCAGAAAAGAGACAAGATCAATTGCCTTGATTTCCATAAGCTAGGCATATGATGATAAAATCCTAACATACAATAACCAATCCATAAATAAAGAACGAAAGATTCAAAATTGCATAGCAATAATCATCTCCTCCCAAAACTCAATATATAGATATATATATATTTCACAGAACTAAAAACCTTAACTTGCACGAATACAATGATAGCAGCAATATAAATCCCCTGCAACAAGAAAAAACTCCAATTCGAAGGAATAGAACAAGATTTATCACTGAAATGTAAACCTTTAAATCTGATTGAAGAAAACATAATATAAATTTTTTGCAAACAACATTCAATCCCCTGCAGCAAAAAAATTCAATTCGAAAGAATAATACAAGGTCTATCAATAAATAGATAGCTCACCATAACAAGTGAAACCCCAATTTGCTTGATACACCCCTCAGCTATTCTGATTCAGAGCGACAGAGAGACACAAGGACGCGAGAGAAAGAGTTGCAGATAGCATTTATACATGAGAGATCACCGTGATGTGAAGCATTACAATTCGTTGAATTCTCCAACAGAATACGAAACAGTTTATGAGGTTGATTTAATAGTGAAGTTTCGAGGCCGCTTGCGTCTCTAGGACTCTTGTGGAGCCGTCG